TGTCCTTCTACAATGAGTTTCATTTGCGGCACTCTGGAGATGGCGCTGATTTCAATATTTTTATTCTATCTCTGTCCTTTTCTTTATTATTCTTATTTTTTTCTTTATTTCTGTCATTATCTAATTGATTTTCTTTGATTTTAACACGCTAAAATTACAGATACGAAATATTTATCAAAATTTATCGTTCTAGAAATATTTTTCATGTAAAAGAAAATATTACAGTTGATAATTCAATTTTAATGATTTATTTTCATTTAAATTTTAATTATAATTTTTGTTTAATTTTTTAAATGAACAATTGGCGTAATTAAAGGCTTGGAAAGTTTAATGAATAATAAAAATTCAGCAATCGTTGTAAAATTTAACAAAAATACGTGATCTTTGCCGACAAAAAATGATTTTTAAAATATAATATACATTATAACTTTTTAAATTTTTATTTTTAATTGTATTATTTTTAGCATTTTATGACAATAATAAATGTAATAATTGATATATTGTTATAATTAGATTTATATATTATATTTCTTATAATATTAATTTTTGATTTATAATTGTATTAAAATATCCAAAATATGATTTTATGAGAATAATTATAAGACGGAAACAAAAACATTTTAATTTGTACTAAATTTACACTAATTTGTATTAATTTTATACTAAAAATACAAAAATATATAAAAATAGAAAGAATTCTTATAAACTATTAATTTTTTTTGTTTTATAATAATGAACACAATATTTCATAAAATTTTTAATTTTCTTCAAGTCCATCTGGTGATTTTAAGCATTTTATTATATTATATTAATATTCAACTTGTTTGCACATTTCTTTTGCTACTATTTGTTCTTCCAAAAATAGAAAAACTTGTATGCATAAAATTATTTTGTTTCAAATGGTTAATTAAGGCTTTCCTTATAATTATTTTGCATAGGAAACATGGGATGATAATGTATTTGGAAAATAGTCACGAGGAAATCGTCACCAGAATATATTTCGTTTACAAGAATTTTTCAATGGCAACTGCCAGTTTGATAATACTTAATATTTATTACATTCCTCTCATTCATCCACACCCACGCATAAGTGCTATACAGAAAAAATTGTGCTGAACGCTCAGGATACATCGTTTATTTCATCCATTTAAAAATTATAGATAAATATGCATACAATTTTTTTTTTTTTTTAACAATCGAATTCGTTTTAATACTATGCAATTAAAAGCTTTTACCAAGACTGAAATCCTCTTGTCTATTGTATAAAGAATAGCATGCAATTCTTCCAACATTTAATATATGTAATTTACATTTTACTTTACTATTGTTTTCTGAATAGAAACTTTTATGCGAGTTTCTAATTTCTCAAACTATTGTTAAAAAATTTTCAAAATAGATGAGCAAACATTATTTCCTTTGCGCGTACAAATTGACCTGCAATCATACTATACATCCATGTGTCACGATATTTTAACACAAATGGACGATCAAATAACGAAGAAGAGAAACACTGGTGGAGAATTGAACTTGATTCACGTGTGCTTGTAAAAATTTTTGATGACACCATTTGATTTCATTTCTCTTTTGTGCAATTAAAATTATTATCTTATTTCACAAAAATTTTATTTTCTTCTTCTTTTTCATCAACAACATATTTCATAATAAGGCACGACAGATTCTTCAAATTTTGTGTTTAAAAAATTGGCTCTCCCTGCTGTTGCGTTTTGGTTTTGATTTCTATTGAGCAGATTAATTCTTACACACTATCCATAGATCGTGAAGAATCATTCTTGTTATTTTCCACGATCTTTGACTAACTTGTGCGCGGTAACTGCACTTGCCTGCTGATATAGTTAAATTTCTACTATCCTAAGATTTTCACGAAACTAATGGAGAAAAAATTCATTATCATGCATACAGCTCAAAGTAAAAATGTATCAAATTCACAGTTTTAATCGCGTCAGCCTAAATTTTTAAAATTCCACGACAATCTATTTTCATTCTTTCTCTTTTTTTTTTTTTTCTTTTCTTTAATTTAACCAGACAAAGAAACAGATTTAAAAGATTTTAAAAATACAGGCTGATGTAATTTTATCTATTATGTTCTAACTTTTTATGATATAGTTCCTCCGACAGTTTTTTAAAACTTACACTTGAAAAATAGTCTCTTCCAAACTCACTCAAGTCTCTTTCCAAAATAGAACACGACTCGTGGAATTTTCTCCACGAGAAAAGATCCTTTCTTCAACAAAAGAAAAAACCAAATGATTCACTGATCTTTCAGACAC